CCATAAAAGTGAGGAAGGAAAAGATTAATAGTATTGATTGGTTATAAGCCAATACACCTTGGGTTAGAAGCTACCCTTTGTTTGGCAGATTGGAAACCATAAACACTGGCATATCTCCATTTATTAGCAGTTCACAGAAAAAAAAAAAACAAAACAAAACCAAAACAACAAAAAATGAAGATGAAAAATTTCCTTAGGTGACCAATTCTGGTTCCCTCCGCTGCAGAAACCTTCCACAAACTAAGGGCCATCAAGAAACAAGGACAATATTTCTGCTTTCCCTTTTATCCATAACACACAAGCTGTTCTACAGTTTCCTTCCATTAAATCAGGCACTGCTTAAACTTCACAAATTCAAATCTGGAAGGCACTCAAATTGATCCCAAATATAATAGAGGCTGTTTTCATCTCTTCATGGAAAATGTAAATCCACTTACCAATAATGAGTTCCTGTAGCACCTCTTCTTGCACCATCAGCCAGCTCTCTGTTCCTTCCAAATTTTGGTGCAGAATAGTGTTTGTTCCCCTTTATCCTACACTGAATATTGAGATCAGCTGTGCTCACCCCTTTTGGGGTTTTAGCAGCACAGGTGTTTTCTTTCAGTATTTAAAAAGGGGGGATTCCAGCTGATGCTAAAACTGGTCAAAAATTAAAAATGAAACTATTTCCCATCTGAACAATTCACAGACACAGAAGACTCACATGGAAATTTTGGGGAAGGTTTCTCAGCCCAGGATAGAATTAGGAAAGGAACAAATTAGGAAGGAACAAATCACCCACTCAAGAATAACCCTGTTACTGTGGGCATTTGCTTGACATGAGAGAGTTGGAAGCCTTGAAAGAGCAAAGGTGGAAATCCTTCTCTCCACATGTTGGCAAAAGGTTTCATACACTGAGATGTAGTGAGAGAACATGTTTGGATTTTTTTTTTTTTTGTCATTAAAATATGCCTAACATTACGAGTTTAGTTAACACATTAAATTAAAACTATTTCCTAACCCATTACATGCCTATGAAATGGAATTTTTGTTTGCCAAACAAGCCTCAGAAATGGGATTTCCAGCCTTTTGCTTTGTGCCATGATGTGTTTGTGGAGGCCAGCTCCACTCTCTTTCACACTCACTGATCCAGAGCATGTTTTAAGTTGCTTTACCTTTGTTGGACAATGCTGCAGATACAAATTCCAGCACAATCACTGCCTAGACAAGCTCACACCTCTTAGATCAGAGTGACATTGTGACATTGCCATAATGTTCTTTTCCCTTTCCTTTTTTTACAGTGTTATATTGGTTTCAATACCAACCTGCATCTGAAATCTTTTCTTGTGCCCTCAGTCTGCGGGAGTGGAAATGAGGATGAAATGGATTTTTGTACACACAAATGCTCTGTAATGCTGATAAGGATGTGAATAGAATACAGAAAGGAGATACTTATTCAACAGTCTGTTTATAAATTATTTGTAAATCTCACCCTCAATAAAATGGGGACTCCTTTCTCCTAATGATGCTGATAGAAGGAATTGAATAAAAAGCTCAAGGAGATTTTTGACAATGATATGACTCCTGGGAGCCTTCAGAGTCACATCCTCTGTGTGTCCAGCAACAGGCAAAGGCTGTTGGGGCTAATAAGTCAAACTTTCCCTTGCTTAGATCTGTTCCAGCAATTATCTAATGGGCACGGATCTTAATTAGCATCTCTTCTCTCTTAATCTTCTGACTGGTGTCAGAAAGTCACTTGGAGAGTGAAGGTAACTAGAATAGTGGCAAAAATGGCCTTATCTGTGGCTCTTGCATATTTTTTTTCCATGGTGGCAGTTGTCTTTATTTCACAGATTGTTTCCATGCAGTGACCACATGTGAAAAAGCCAAGAGGATAGAAATGGGCTCACCAGTCCCTCACAGCATCTCACAGGTCAGCTGTGAGTTGGCTCAACCTGTAACACCAGAAATTTGAAGAGCACAAATCTGCTTTTGGTCCACCTGTGAATTGGGCTGACAAACCCCTTGAAGTTAAAAGTGAAAGGGCATTTGGGAATTTCTCTTTACTTGTTACCCTTTCTCCCTTCAACACTAAGAATTGCAAAAGCCTGAAAAATTCTTAAAAAGTGCCTTTTGGTTTAAGAGTGAGAAGTTTTGTGTATCAGACAATGGCAACAAGAGTTCTCCTGTGGAAGCCTGTCTGGATTCAGCTGGGCCATTCTCTAATGACACCCAGTCCCTCCAGAGCTGCACTCTGTGCTGTGGGTGAATGATGATTATAATATGCAAGTACATTAATTAGACTTGGAAAGTTACAGATATTGATGCTGTGTTAACCCCAAATCCCAAGGCTCCCACTCTGGTATAAATGTCTGTGTAAGGGATTAAGCTGGGATAGGTTATTGCACATGTGTATTTGATTCTTAATATTCCAAGCTATATTTTCCTATTATTAATTTATGTTTAGCCCCAGTATCACCACTGCTCTTTGCAGGTCTCAGTTTCTCTGTTTGTTATCCATGTGAAATGGAGGTATTCCAGATTTTCCCACTCCTTTTATTTTCCAGGACCAGTGGTTCCTCACATGGGCTTGTTTAGAGCAGCCACAGTTGGGGCTGGTGAGGAAGAGAAACTTTATTTTCCTGCTCACAGAGGAGCTCTGGCACAGGTTCTTGAAATGAAATGAAGGAAGGCAGACATGATCCAGGAGAAAAAAAAAGTCACCATCAATTCTCTTCTTCCCATCATCAGCACAGAGGCTGTTCTGGAGATGAAAACAAGGGACCTGAAGGTGCTCAGAGGAGATGATCAAAAAGCACAGTTACATCTGTGAACAAGAGGCCAAATAAAAGCAAACCATATATAAAAATCAGAGCTTCCTTGTGCCCAGCCCCATCTACTCCTAGAAATAAAGTTGTTTTCAGGCCATGTTAAAAACCAGTATTTTACAGAATAATGCACGACTGCTGCAAACCTCCCAGTGAAATGAAGAGCTTTTTTGGCAAGCTAACAAAGGAATTCAGGCCAAAGGTTTAAGGTTCACAGAGCTGGTTCAATCACATTTCATGCCTGACATCCTGCAGTACTCATGGACTGGTTGGATGCAGGGCTGTGTTTTTTATCCAGTGGAAGCACCGAGGGAGGATTCTCCATTTCACACCCCATTCACACCTCCATACACAGACCAGGAACGTGGCTCATCCCCAAAAAAACGCCTCTTGGTTTTCCCCTTGGGAAGTTTGCTCAGAACCTGGCAGCAAAATGTCAATGGGCACATCTTCAGGAACTTCAGCACACATCTGCTGCAGCTCAGATGTTTTTAGTTGTCTGGGTTCAAACAAAGTCCGAGTCTGCTCTGAATGGTCTGTATGTTGATTTTGAGGCTATTTCTGCAAGTTTAAGCAAAATAGCATTCAGCCAGCAGGCCAAGCATCTGTAAAAGGAATCCCAGTTCAATCCAGTGTATCAGGAGTTATCCACCCAGTCTTGTCATTTTAATTTTATACAGGTTAAGTTTTAATTTAATGGTAAAATGATAATGTTTTTTCTCTGTTCAGAGCAAGTTCCCGAGCAGGGAATGATTTGCACACCTGGAGAACAGGAGTTCTCTGTATAATAAACTGTATTAAACTGGGTGCATCCTACTGGAAACTTCTAATTTAGTTTTAGCCTCTTAGGACAGCAATGTAGACATTCTGCTTATCAGATGAGTCTGGAGTGGACTCTAAGATGAGTATATATCTTGTAAAATGGGTAAGAATAATAAGAAATATGACTTCAGGTTGTGCCTGTGGATGCTAATCCTAACTGTTCAGCAACGTGGTCCTGCTTAGTAATTTTAAAATGCACTTTAAGCTGTGGGAATAAAACCCTAGTAGGTGCTTTAACTATCTAAAGTAGAGTCAATTAAATTAACTCATGTGGAACTATTTCTAACTGATCTTTACATTTTGTCCAATCCACTAGCTATACTGGTGTTTCTTGTATAATTTTGTTCATTTTGAATGCATTGTGTGCATTTGAAACATGAAAGCATATTAGCATAGCCTCGAGTTTTATTTTACAGCATTCTCTAAAGATTCTCTAAAGATAACCAATCCTACTGAATGCACAGTTACCAATGATCAATATTGATATTATTTTGCTTTCACTGTGCCTGTCTCAGCTGGCAAAGCACCACTGTGAGCACTGACACTGGGGAGCAGGGGACACAGAAATTTTATAGTTATTGTTACCTCTTGTGGCACTTGTGAACACATTCTGAACATCATCATCAACAGGAACCTGTCCAACCTTTTCACTCCCACCAACCCAACACTGCTCTCTTCAAGACTTTTCCCTTAGGTCAGAGCAACCCAACAGTTTTCTGTCTCAGGACAGATACATGTTATCACAAGAAAACAAAACTGCAGACAAATTAGTTGCAATATTTTTCTAATTATACCCCTAAAAATGTTAAGAGTGTGAGCAAAAATTGTGTGAAGGTTTTATTCCACCTATAGGATGTGATATGCTCAGTGATCCAGAGCAGTTCACTGAAGTCATCAGAATTTTAGTACCATAAAACAAAAGTGAGGCTTTTTCATCTGTTTTGTGGGGGGTTTTTTCCACAATCCATAGCAAAGTATTTTTTGCCATGGGAAGAAAGAAAATGAGGTTCTACTTCACATTAAATAGAAATAACTGGCTCTGTTCATTGAGGAAAGAAAACAGAGGGCCAAATCAGACTGCACTGCACACAACAAAATCTGAATGAATCAGTATAAATGCTCCAACTCCTTCCTAACACAATGCCTGGTTAAATATTCCAAAATTTCAACCTTGCAGGCTTACACTACCTTTTCCTGGAGGAAAGCTGAAGAGCATATTTTGGTTAAAGGAGGAATGCTGTCCCATTTCAATGGCATCAGTTTGTTGCTTATCAATAACAAAGTCACTTTAGGGCTTGGGTTTCTTTGTGGTTTATTAATGAAAATAACTTGCTAACTTCTATTCTTCTCAAAAAAACAGTGACACACAGATGTACAAACCCACATTCATGTGTTGTTTTATTGGTGCATTACAACATTACATTTCCTTCACACTGAGAAAGCATGAGATTAAAATACACTGATCCACAAAAATGCCTTCCCTATGCTGACTTTGCACTGGTGATTATGGCACCCACAGATCCCTCCACAAGTTTCATTCCATTAAGTCCTTCATAATTTTAATTACATTTTAATCAAAGCTTTTACATTGTCTATTTTATGACTTTCAATTTAATTATTCCCATTAAAATGTGTTATTCTTTACTGCTTTTCCAAGCTCACCAATTACTCTTGTAATTTAAGTTTTTATGCTGTGTTACACTTCATATCCAATCTTTTAACATCCACCACTCATCTGAGGGCTGTATAAGGTTTCCCCATCCCAAAGAAGACAGCTTGTTTGTATCAAAAGCCATTAAAACACTGGGAACGTGTACAGCACAGTTAAGAGGTCCCACTCAATTTTGAGAATAAGCCAGATCCATATAAAACCATGCAAAATGCTCTATGCATCAGTATTAAACTTCTAATTTGATTGAAGGGTTTTTTTTTTTTTTAACATTTGCATATAACCTGGAAGACTAGGGTTCCTGCTGAAAGAAAAAGCTGATGGCTGAGCCTTCCCCTCCCTCCAGGGCTTTCTTTAATCCTCCCAGGTGAAGTAACAGAAAATTATATCTGTCACAGAATTCCGTAGGATGGGTTAAAAACTTTATAGAAAGATTACACCTCCACTAGGCTGTGTGGGTTTCTAGAATTTAAGACCTCAATTACACTAGAGGAGTGTTCTGTGAAATCCAGCGCAAATGCTGAATAACTTGGCTTTGCTGCTGCTGGTTTTGGGAATTTGTATTCACCAGCAAACCCACAGCTATGTTTGGGTAATGTCTCTGCTGTAGAGTTCAGAATTCTGTAACTGCCAGTAAAACATCCCACCTCTCACTGGCAGAGTCAAACTGGTATCAGTTTTAAAGCAGATCAGGCCTGATTTCTACAGAACACTTCTGGGTTCGTGCCTAGTACATTCTGTTCCCTGATGTCACTTCCTATTTATAGTTATTTCTAAATATCATATAAGTTTATACATAGCAAGGTTGCATCCTCTTGTACACAATCATTATGTTTCTTTTTAAAGGGACTCTAATTCACTTGCTTTCTATAAAAATTCAAGTGTTGCCAATCAGGAAGTAGCTCTTCTCAAAAAAAAAAAAAATCTACAAAGCTTAGCTTTGAGAAAAGTAAATGGCAAGCCTTACATAAAGACAGTGAGCTGTTTGAATCACAAAATGCCTACAAGGCCAATGCATATTCCAACAGGAACACATAAATTGGAGTTATGGCAGCAGTCTCCTCCAGTCTAAAGCACCATAAGAATGGTCGTTGATCAACGTTCTCTTGGTCTCCTTAACCAGCAGCTCCAAGTGCCAGGATGTGGGCTGGAACATTTGCCTGCTTTTTCACAGGATACCTAAGGGAAAAAAAACCTGGAATCTGACATTCTGCCATCCAAAGGTACATCATTTCACAGGAATGTGATGTGTGCTGCGTAGTGCATACACATATCACACCAGAATCCTGATAATAATAAATTATTAACTCAAATCCCACACTTATGAACCTTCTCCACACCAGCAGCAGTTTGATTTGTTGAGTTTGAATTCAGGTACCAAGCCAGCCTTCCCAAACACCACGATGAGCTGAAAATGTGGAATGGGACTAGCAGAAAACTGTCTCCAGCCTTCCTCTGGACATGTGACAGTGCTGGAAACCACCACGAGCGTTCAAGGTCACAAATGAAAATCTCTGCATTTCTTTAGGTCACCAATGCTGCAGTGAGTCACCACACAAGGATGGACATGGCACACCAGGTTCACAGGAAACTCTGTGTCTCCTTATTCTCCCAGGTTTAGGATTTTTTTAAAACATTTGTTTTAAAGACTTCAGCTTGTTGCTCTTTTCTTTCAATTTGTTTGGATGGTAATTACTGCATGAGCTCTCAGAAAATGGCTGATGATGTAGTACCAAGTTTCTAGTCCATCCTATGAATACATATGTTATTGTAAGTTGATAATTTGAACAGCATGGAATTTCTTGAATGTGAGAATCATCCTGAAGAACTACTGATGCATTAAGCTTGGCTCTTCAAACATTTAACCCTTCATACCTTTCATCTGCTTTATCATTAGTAGCTCAGAATGACCTTGTCAAAACTTGGCAATTAAAGCAAAGTTTTACCGGCATATGGAGGTTTGTTTTTTTTTTATGTTAGAAGGCAACAAGATAAAAATAAGGATGATGCCCTAAATTATCAAATTATATGAAGAAATGGCTGGCCCCAACAGATGCTGAACACCTGGTGAAAAGTGCTGTGTGTACTCACCACCCATCAAAATCAATGAGTGCTGAAGATGACCAGAACTTTGTAGAGGATGAGTCAGTACCTCAGAAAAATCTGTTTCCAGATCTACTATATCCTCAACCACATCTCCTTAAAATTACTCTCTTAACCATTCTCTATATGGGATTGTTTGTAATTCTCTCCCCTTCCCTCAAATAGTCTGTTTGCAGTAGACTGAAAACAGGTAATTCAACAACAAGTCAACATGAACTGAAAAATTAACTTCGAAAGTACGATGACATTATGGCATTAAAAATAAAATATTTGAACTTCTCTTTATAAAAAGGAAAGAAACAAAAGAAACAAAAGAAAAAAAGTAAGAAACACTGTTAAGAGACCAGCTTGGAGGAAATGTGAGAAAGCTAAAAGTTCATTCTGCATATTTCTTAAAGTCATACGGGACCTTCAGTTATTCCCTCCAGAGGCAGCCCAGTAGCATTGTCTGCTGTCGGTCGCTCTTCTTTCTTCACAGAGTTCTGATCTAGCAGGCTGACGTAAGATTTATGACAAGCTGTGTTACCCAGAGGGGGGTAGTGCTGTCTGTAGCAAATATAAGCAAAAATGAGGCCAATGATCCCTCCAACGAAAGCATCTAGACAAAAAGAGCAACAAAAGCAGAAGGAAAGGTCAGCCAGAAGTGACAGGTGTAAACAGGAAGACATTTGCTTGACGTGGAAGTGTTCAACCCAGAAAATGTGAACTTCGAGTTTTCATAAAGAATTTGGAGCCAAATACCACAGTCACACAGGACACATAAAATCAGTATTTTGTGGGGACATCTCCAACGTTTTGAATACCTAAAATGCAGGTGGTTGGTTGTGTTTTGGGAGATGAACAGAGGGAACAGTGTGGCCTCCATGGGGCATTAAACACCCATGATGTTCCAGAGCACTGCTGACCAACATTTGGGGGTTGGCAACCCATGGATCTTCTTCCAGTGTGCCATCAGGTAGAGTGCCCACAGCCAGGTTTTCCATCCATGGACAGCACAGCTGTCCTGTGCTGTTTGCCATCCAGAGCTCTCCTGCTCACAGGTCCACCCCAACCTACTGCACTGACCACAGTCTGTTCCCTGCCCAAGCACCCCCAGGAAAAAAGGCAGTTACAGTGCCAGATCTGCTCATGACTGTTTGTATTCCAGGAGGAATTCTCCAGGGAGCAGGCAGGATGTAAGTGGAAAATTCTCTCCCTCCAGGCAGTGGGCCACTGGAGCTACAGCAGTTCACTTCTCCTGCAGCTCCTGCAAGGCCCCTGAGAAAGACAGCTGGCAACAACCACTTCAGGCTGGGTGAATTCTCACTAAAAGCACCTGAAAGGTCAAAGATTGACATGCCTTTGAACTGACTTAACACCTTCTGAATATCTTTCTTTTGATGCTTTTTACTGTCTCATACTCCTTCAAAAAAACCCAAAATAAAATAAGATAAAACAAGGCCATTGTACAAGATATTTGCACCTCTCACACACAGGTAATTTTAAGTTTTCTACAGGAACAGAATAGCACCTGAAGTGTCAGAAGATTCCTTCTGCTGTCAGGTTCTGCCTCTTAATAAAAACTCCTCTGATCTTGTGTGTTATTTCCAAACAACCAGAGGAAAATTTCCCTGGAAATACAGCCTGCCTTTGAAAGCCTCAGATTGAGCACAACCAATAAATGGAAATGAACAAGAGGCACTGCCTAGAATATGAGTTGGTAGCACATTTTATTTTAACCAGACTTATTAAGCACCATATCATCTGTGTGTACCTGTGTTTCCATCCTTTCAATTACAAAGAAACCACAGTGTAATAAAAATGGTGAATCATTGAGTTTAGTGACAAAGAAGGCGAAATCAATACAAATTATTTTTGACTAAAGTCGTCAAATAAAGATTAAATTCCCCAGCTTGTCAGTCTGATATATATTAGAACAAAGGTATTAGAACAAGGTTCAATTTTCAGTGGGTGACAAATGGTTTGTATTTTTTTCTCATCAGAGAAGTGAGATTTCTTTTAAGAGGAACAGCTAGGGCCAGAAAACCTGAAAAATTTAATGTTGAGATGGATGAATTTAAGAAATGTGTTTATAAGTCATGGCTGAGTAAGAGGAGATCCCTTCTAATCCTTCTACACACAAAAGGACATAACAAATCTATCACAAACAGATGTAATAGAGGCTCAAGCAAGATTTTAAAAGGTGATTGTGTGTACACAGTATTTGGAAGCAGATGGAATCTTGTCCTATGCACACAGAGGCTGATTTTGCACCATTCAGCCTGTCCCTATCAAACTGTCATGGTACAAAAGGTACCCAGGGCAACAATTTTCGCTGTTTCAGCATCAATCAACTCGTAAAAAATTTAGTTATTGTGACAAGATTAATTTTCTATAAACCTGTGTTGGGTGTAATTCTCAGATTACTCTGCTTTAATTGTTGACTGAATATTATCCCAGCTGTTTTTTTATTTTGCTTAGCAATAAAGTCAAGCCTATGATTACTATATTTAATCATGGAGAAACACCACATTTTTGCCAGTCCCCTACAAGTTCCCTGGTATTTTAAGACTTGCTGCAAACTTGCCCAGATTTTATTTCTTTCAAAACATTTACATGCAAATTATGTAACTCTGGGCCTCAGTTTGGGCACCACAGTAATGCAGATTCACAAATGAGTTATGCCAAAGATTTCTCACTTACTGATCTTGTCTGGGGGTGAGGAGCAAACACACAGGCAGCTATTTTGACTCCTGTTTTTGAAGACAACAATTCTGTCTTTGTTTGAGCTTATGGGAGCCATAACTTACTTTTTTTGTTTTGTTTTGTTTGTTGGGGGTTTATTTTGGTTTGGGGTTTCTTTTGTTTGTTTGTTTTTCCCATAAAGGAAAAAGAACATTTTTCAGTCTCAGTATTTAACTTTATTTCCACTTATTCCATAAGTAAACTAAAATTTCCAGAATTAGAAGTCTACAGAGAGATTTAGGGACTAAAAAGCAGTCAATACATTCTGGATTCACAATGAAATATCCTAATATTCATGAACACCAACACTAAGATCTTGAATATTACTTTCTTCAGCCAAACTGAAAAGAGCTCATAAAGTTCTCATAATATTAACCTCGTGAGCCCACTCAATGGCTTTTTAATATAAGGATTCTCCACTCCATCTTTCACCTACAGTGTGCTCAGCCTTGGACATTAAACTGATGGTCCTTTTACACTCCCCACAGCTCAGAAAAGGCTCCAGCACAAAGGCACCATAAATAATTTAACACAATTAGCTGACTCTGCTGAGCAGAGAAGGCAAGGCCTGAGGTTCTGTGCTGGGTATTCCAGAGTGAACTATTCCCTCCCTTGAGAACACAGTTCTTTTCAGGGAAAAACACAGGTCACCTGCAGGATAACTTCAGGAAGAGCTGAGTTTCCAGCTCCATCTCCTTAAAATTCAAAGACAAAACAGAAGTAGTTGTGATGAGCAACAGTCACAACCCCCATGGGTGCAGTTTTCCTCTGTGGTGTATAAACCATGCCATAATAACCAGTGTTTCAGCACATAAATAATTCTTACTCTTGGCAAGAGACAGTACACGCTGGAAACACGTGTCCAAAACTGGAGAGTAAACCTGTACATCCTCTTCCCATTCATTCACACTGCTCCCTTTCTCTTTAACAGGCAGCTCAAACCAGTCCAGTGCTATGAGAAATAAAAATATGGGGTTTTTAGGTGTATTGGGAAGTTGTAACATATTCAAGTCCCAGACTGGGACTGGGAATCAGGGACTTTTTCAGCCGGATAAAGGAAATATAAAAATTCCTAAAAATTAAAATCTTTCAGGGCCATGTGAGAATTTTGCACACAGGGAGGTTCTCTTTTCTCTTTGGGCTAAGAACAAAAGAAGATCCATCATTTTTGGTAGAGGATGTCCAGTGGCCAATTGGAAAGAAGGGAAAGCCCCTTTTCGGAGAAAAGAAACATTTTTAGGCAAAAATGAATATATTAAGCTTATCTGAAAAAGGTGGGGATTTTGTGAAACTATAAAACTGAAGGGGTCTTTTTCCCCAGAAATCACCCACCCCCATCCCTCTGTGCCACTGGAGGGCATGAGGGAGAGAAATTGGGAGTGAAGTTGATCCCAGCCAGGAAAAAGGGAGAGGGGGAAGGTGTTTTTAAGATTTTCTTTCATTTCTCATTGTCCCGATTTGATTGGTAATAAATTGAACTACTTTCCCCAAGTCAAGTCTGTTCTGCCCATGCTGGTAGTGGCTGAGTGATCTCCCCCTGAACTATCTGAACCCATGAACCTTTCATTGTATTTTTTCTCTTTTGTCCAGCTGAGGAGGGGAGTGACAGAGTGGCTTTGGTGGGAACAAATTTCCAGCCTGTCTTGGAAAACAGGAAAACAATATGTAACTAGTATTAACCAGATAATAGAAAGGAGCACTCATGACCTTGAGGGGAGCACAATTTGCAAGGCCAGCAGTAGTGCACCAGCAACACCACATAAAGCCAAGAGGACCTACATAACAGTATCAGAAAGTATGGCATTTCCAATAGGAATATAGGGACAAATAGGGCAAAAGTAATTACAGGCTGGTTTAATTAGTATGAGGGATGAGCAAAGCAAATGGGAGATGGCAATAAAGAGGGTCAAGAAATGGTAGAAAGAATAGATGGTAGTGTTTTATGAATTGTGCCTCAGTAATATAAGTGTGCAATTAATAAATGGCATAGTCTTCTGTTGGATTCCAAATTTTAGATATGAGAAAAGAAACTGCTAGGTTTAAACAGAAAACCTTGAGTCACAGATGCTGGGGAAAAACCCTTTTCAGTAACTTCATCATTGTGGATTCTTCCTGCCTCCTCCAGCACAATGGAGGAGACTCTTTGCATGATGTTATCATGTGCCCTGCCCAAACCAGAGAGACCATACCCTGACTTGAACAACCTATTCAGAAGATCCACTGTGTTTTATCTCTCCTTTTGTGTTACCTGTCCCCCCCTGTAAAATCCCCCAAGTTAAAGTGGGTTTTTGCCATAAGAGGTAATTCCTAAGACCCCCGAGATTTGTCAAACCTGTTTTTTCCCTTACCTCATCTCTGGAAAGTCCCCAGTTGTAACAGAATGAATATGCAAGCCCCCTGTTGAAAATGTAAACCTTGAACCCTTTAAATATGAAGTTGTGAACCCAATAAAGGATTCCAGTTTTCTGCCTCCCCTGGGATCGTGATAACTCATTGACCTCTGCAGTCTTCTACATCAGTCTCACACCTGAATTTTAAAGCACTGAGACAACAGTCTCTCTGTGACAAACACACTTAATCTGACTGGGAAGTGACTGCTGTGAGGGAAGAGAGGGGGCTGTGGCAGAGACCTGAAGCTGTGAAGGTCAGTGTTGGTTAACTCAACCTCTCTAGGAAACCTCAGCAGCCACCCGCACCATCGTGTTTTAACTGTCTTGACGTAATTAAAATGAAATAAAATAAAATAAACACGCAGATAATTTGAAAAAAAAAAGTTGGAAAAAACCTGGCTCACCTTGCCAGTGATGTTTATAATCACACATCCGTGACAGGGCAATCATCATGGCACAGTAGAGAGGCAGGATGGCTGCACAGAGCCTCCAGCTCTTGCCCCGGCCACTCTCGGTGAAGCAGTGCAGCTTCCCAGCCAGGTAGAAGGTGGTAAAGCCAAGGCCTGAAAATGCAACTGATAAAGAAAAAACACATCACTACAGGGTTTTATTTTTATCACAGCACAATACTAGCCCTCAAGGTCCTTTAAGGTGTGACAGCAGGATTCCTCTGCTGCAGAGAAGGGTTGGACATTCCAGGGTGATAATAAAGTTGAAAAGACCCATCTGCAAAAAACTGAGGGAGCTTCAAAATTTAAATGATGATTCCCATGTAACCATATCAAGGATGCTGTTATAACTTAGTATTTTAAGAGGATGCAGCAAATTGCCTTCTTGCTTTGTTTTGTTTTTTAATAAAGCAATCACGTCCTTAACAAACTTTAACAAAACCCCATTTTTGAGGGGCTGAATGGGAAAAGACACATTTTCCACAAGATCCAGGACATACTTATATTCTCCACAGCAGGGGTGTTATCAGTGTGGCAATGCAAGTAGTGCAGGCAAGTGAACACTGCAAAGCAAATTGACTTTCTTCTCATCCACACTCAGCTTTCACATAATCTGACAGGTCTGCAAACCCTGTAGTACCTCTAGACATTCCCCTATGCAAGAGAAATTTAATTTATTTTTTTTTCCCTTCAGCAATTTGCCTTCTTCCTCTGGGGGAGACATCAGCTGTGAAAAGAATGCCCAATTTTATTTGCACACTAAATGAAACATTTAAGCAAATTTTTTAACTCGAGTCACAAAAGCTTTTTCGTGCTTCAACTTTCAGCACATCTTTCCTGATTTTAAACCTTTTCAAAAACGTCAAGGTTCAAAGCAGAAAAAGATTCAGACAGTTTGTACTGTAATTGAATTATATTTCAATTCAAAATCTAAAATGAGATTTTTTAGATTCCATTAACCTGTTTCTATAGAACATCACATGCAGTGATGAGAGAACTCAGGCCCCAAGTTTCTGTACTGAATTTCTTCCTTGCTGTGGCTCCTCACCTTCCAGAGAGATATTAGATTTTTTTATTATTATTTTTTTTAATATGCATTTCTATTTCTTGAAAGAACCAAACATCTGAATATTTTTTTTCTGTAGGAAAATTAGTGCTGCAGCTGAACATGTAGCTCTGTGAAACACATCTCTTTTCTTCAATCACAATGACAATCATCATACTCAATTTTGCTTTTGACTGCAGAGATCAAAAATTAGAACATGAGCACACAAACCATAGAGAGCAAAATCATAAATATTTATCATAAAGAATTTGAAATATTTTTTTTTCTGATTACCTTTATACTTTCAATCTTTGTGATATCTAAGCAACTCTATAAGAAGCAACAGGTGGCATATTTATGCAACCATTTGAAATACTTTTTTTTTTCTGACTATAGTTTTTACCTTTGTTATACCTGAGGAACTCTATAAGGGGTAAGAGGTGACATTCATAATACATAATATATAATTCTTTTCTGGTTCTACTTTCAGCCAATGTAATGGTAAAATCACTACCAGTGCTGGGTCAGATGCAAATCTTTTTTTCCAATCTCCTGATAGAAACCTTCACCTGAGGTTACCAAATGTCAGGTGGGTAAAGCAACCCCTTTGTGTTCTGCTGATAAATCCATGGGAGGGTCATTTTTAGCTGCCAGTACAACAGAGTGCTTTCCCAAGTTTGTATTCCACAGCCTGGATGCAACTACTAAAGATTTGCATTTCATCTTCAAACACCCAGATAAATCACTCCCCTGCACAGCTGTGGTGGAGCCAGACAGAATGCAGATTAATCATCAAACCAGCACACCAAATATGTTGTTTTCTAGATGTTTTTTCAACCACTGCTGATTCCATATTTGTCAGAAGACGGTGGGAGGCAAACTTTGAAATGTTAACAATCCTGAATAAATAAAAGATTTCTTGCAGACTGGGCCACCTTCTTGCGTGCAGACCTTTGAGAGCTGAGCAAACCTGCTCTGCCTTTCAGGCTGTTGAACAAGAAGAAATAATTTCTTCTGACATTTCAGGGAATTCTTGAAATGAATGTATTTTCCTAAAAGCAGCATGTCTTGCACAGAAAAAGGCTGTGAGATGCACAGTCAGAGCTCCAGGCTATACCCACCATGAAAAAAATAAAATTATGATACTAACACAGCTCAGAAAATTGGAATACCCCCCTCCTTTTTCAAACATCCTCTCCAACTCTTAGTGCCCAGTGTAGACTGACAGACCTAAAACAATAAATTAATATTTCTTCTTGTGCCTCTCACATGTGTTATATTTGCCATGACAAAAAGCAACTCTGCTCTTGTCTGTGCTCTTCCTGTTGCACCAGGTGATTTTTGGGGCACTGTCTTTTGTATCAAAGACCTGCAGTTCTTTACAGGCTTGGTTTTGGGGTGGGGTTTTTTGGATGGCTAATAAAACACATTCACATCTGTGTGAGCAGACACAGGGTTGCCCATTCTGCAGACTTCTGGAACCAGAAACATATCTAAACTCACCTGAGACTGCAAAGACAGGATTTTTTGCATCATTCCCTCTTCCATTTGAGTAAATGGAGTGACCCAAATGAAATCTGCCTTGGATATGCAATATCAAATGAATACTTTCAAATACTTCTTCTCAAGAATTACTTTTGTCTTTGTATTTCCATTTTTCATCTCAGGTTATTATTATTTTTTTTAGATCTTCAGAATTAAAATCTGAAGACAGTATTCCCAGGCAGAAGAATCAATTGCTCTGTGGTTTCATTTTCAGGCAATTCTATAATGCCTTGCAATTTAGAGGGCTTACAGAAATACTGCCCAAACTATAAAATAGGTGTTCAGTTCACACAGACTCATATTCAAAGTTACTGGCATTTACCAGGCAATTTTAGTAGCAATTGTCAGTAGCAGCAGATTTAGCTAAATGGGCTTTAGAGAAAATCTGGTGATATTTAAAAAAAAAAAAAAAAACAAACCCAAAAAACCCCAAACCAAACCAAAAAAAAACAAACAAACAAACAAACAACAAAAAATCCCCAGAATTTGTGGGGTTTTTTGTCAGGATCTGCCACATTTCCAGGAGGAGGTGCTCAGGAAGGAATATGGAAGTTCAGGAGACTTGCACAAGACAAAAAGGAGGATTTTGTCTTAGATGCCTGATGTGTTCCTCTGAACCAAAAGCCAGGAAGAGACTCACAACCACTCCTCTAGGGGAATTTACACCTAATATAAGATGGAAAAAAGTAAGATAATGATGCTCCAGCCCGTGGCTACGGAACTAACATCTGCAGAGATGCAAAAATTCACTCTTCAAGAATCCTGGGCTTAAAGCTGCTATTTACCCTGAAGAATTGGGCAATTAGTAGAATATATATATGAGTCCTTTTTCTAAAAGCTGAAGTCAGTATCTCACTATATCACCAAGGAAATGCAAATGCACACATACACATATCAAATGCCCTAAATTATTACATGGTGCCATAACAAAAATTATCATTTTGCATAACAAGATTCCAAAGATGCAGCAAAGCAACGCTCTTCATTTACGGAAATAGTTCTAAGTTGGTTTCTTCCAGAAAGAAATTAAGACTGTTTATAGAAAGGAGGCAAGACCACAACACAAAATGCCAACCAGGTCTCTTTGGAGACATTGATATAAAAGGAAATAAGAACATCAGTCTGATTTAGTTTAAAACAATTTTAACACAACATAGATGTTGGTGCAAATTCCAGGTACAAATATTTAGATTATTTTAAGTGGTGAAAGAGGAGAAAGGAATGAATCAAATATATAGTAAAGGGAAATGAGATATTTTAAACCATTGGTGTAGCTAACTCAAATCAAAGTCCTGACACCACAAGCTGCTGGACAGAGGAAAACCTCTCCTAAGAAAAGCCACAGGTTCTACCAGGGCTTGACAAAATGCTCTATATTTTGTGAACTGTTCTCTTTAAATGAGCCAGCTGTGGTTCCTTAAGAAATTAACAGAGATGAAGGGGATTTTGGAATGAAAAGGAAAAATTTAAGTCTTACAGGAACAGGTGCTATGAAGTAACTTATAGGAGATAAAAGATCACACCATATTGCTACTTGTAGCATGTAAAAAACTGCTCCCTCTTGGGCATTGTAATTATTGGAGTAAATAAAACTACATTAGAATCAATTGTTCAGGCTGTTTTATCATATTCTTTAAAAAAAAAAAAGGTGACAGCATCTGGAGACACTGCAGGCCCCATCCTGACATTGATTCTCTCCAGACAAGGGGTCCAGGTGAGATCTGTACAGACCAAACGATTACCAAGTTAAAATGCAGAAAGTGAGAAACTGTGAACAAGAATCTGATCTAAAGTACCCCAAGTAAATTATTCATTAAAAAAAAAGTAATTGCTTTTCTGAGTGTTTTCTGAAAATTAAACTACCCCACAAGGATCTTCAGCTTCTCAAGTTTTAATGGATGCTTTGCTAAGCACACAATAAATGTCTTTTTTCCACTAAGCAGTTTTTGAGCTGAAGAAAAAAATCATCAACTTACTTAAGTGGCATCACATTACAAAACTGCAAGGCAACCATTCAAATGGCCTATATAAGAATCAGACAAAATGATCCATCTCTTTGTCTGTAATGTTTTAGACTTGCAGTGCTTACTCTATATTTTCCAAATGCAAACACATGCTATTCATCCCTGGAACTGCACAGCAGCCTACTGTGTAATTCCTGTAGCTGGGGCTGCTGGCAAATATTTTCAGTCTCACACTGTTCAAAGAACTGAACTATTTATCTTTCTTGAAGGAAAAAGTATGATACCAACTGAGGGCATAAATTTTAACGCTGAAATTCAACTCAAAGACCATTTTATAGAAGTACAATTCCCAAAGAATGTGTTTTGAGCTTATTATCACAGGTAAAATATTTTTCTTTTTTTTTTTACAAGTGGGACAGTCAATCACCTTCCCTTTGGCTCAGTTTTATTAATTTCTCTTCACAAAGAAAGACAGTTCAGCAGAAGCAACATGAAAAGCACATCACGAAATACAAATGTATGCAGGGATTTATTTGGGAAACAAAAGAGTTATTGGAGACAGAGATGTGTTA